TTTGTAATGCTGGCTTGGCGCTCATGAAGTTCTTCCATTGTTCTTTGTCGTGAAAATATTTTATTTCTCCATTGAATTTGAGGGATCCTTTGGCAGGGTACATCAGTCTTGGTTGGAAGCTGTTCTGTCTTAGGACCTGTAATACTTTGCTCCAAGCTCTTGTCAATTGGATGGTTTGTGCTGAGAAGTCTGCTGTGATTCTGATGGGCTTTCCTTTATGGGTAATCTGTTTCTCTTCTCTAGCAGCTTTTAATACTCTGTTCTTTTGCTGGGAACTTGACTATTATATGTCTTGGTGTAGTTTTATTTTTGTTGTGGTTGGTTGGAGTTGTGTATGCCTTTACCTGTATATCAGGTTGTGTTTCCATACTTGGGAAATTTTCTGCTATTATTTCTGCAAATATTGTTTTTATGTCAGTTGTGTTGCCTCCTGCTGTTTCATTGACTCCTATAAGTTGTACATTATTCCTCTTTGCCTCATCTTGCAGCTGTTGAATTGACTTTTCCTGGATCCTTGTTGATTTTACGAGATCCTTTCTTTCATGGTCACTAGCTGCCATGCTGTCTTCAAAGTCTGAGATTCTCTCTTCAGCTTCATTCAAGTGGTTTTGGCAGCTTTCAGTGGCAGCTTTGTTTTCCTGGAAGTCGCTTTGAATCTGGTTCATGCATTCTAAGTCCTTTCTATATTTATCATTGAATGCTTCTGTCCATTGCCTTTGTTCTTCTATTTTCTTATATGTTTCTTCTTCAGACTTTTTGAGCAGTTCCTTCATTATGATTGTCATTTCATTTTTCCCCTGAGAGATTATTTCTGATCTCATCTTTGTATGGCCTTATGGAGTTGTTTCTTTACTTCCATTGCAATCATTTCAGCTATTTCAGGCATATGTTTACCAAGTTCTCCTATGTTGATGTCTCCTGAACTTGTTGTGAGTGGGGTGGAGTTCTGGGATTGTGTTTTAGTCCTTTGTTTTGTCATGTTTGCTACTGGATACAAAAGCTCATTTTCCCTCTTCAGTGGCTTCAAAGCAAAGGCCGCTAGTGTCCTTCATTTTCCTGTTTGCAGGTTTGCCCCTGAGTGACTCCTGAGAAGCACTACATAGTCTCGGGTTTTCCGGCAGTTATTGATTTATATGTAGTTATCCCAGGGCTCAGACGAGGGCATTGGTGTCAGTTGATGGCCCACCATCTGATCCAGTGTCCTCTTGCTGTTCAGGGCACGTGCATGCGCCAGACTTGGGTTGCACTGTGACAATCCTGGTCCAGTGGACCTATGTCCCCAGGCAGTTCAGGGTACAGGCATAACCCAGACATGAACTGCAGGGTCGACAGTTTGTGAACCACCTGATTCTGTGTCTCTAGTCAGTTTAGGACACATACAGGAACCAGATGAAGACAGGACGGGCAGCAATCACAGACTGCGTGTGCCTGCGACCTCCTAGCAGGTCTTTGTGCAAGTAAAGCACGGACTTGGACCACTGGACCAGCAGCTCTTGGAGCACTCACTCACTCAACACAGGGCACATGCAGGGAGGGGCCTCATACTCACCCCAGTGAGAGCAGTCCCTGGGGCTTCTGAGTGAGGACCTCCTGTCTGGCTCTCTCCACAAGTTTCAGCTGGGAACTGTGGCAGTGGGAGTAAAGCACAGACTTGAACCACGGGACCAGTAGCTGTTGGAGCACTCACTCACTCGGCCTGTATCTTGTAGCTTTAACCCCAAGGACACATCATCAAGGTCACAAATTGCTCAGCACTGAAAAGTTATATAGTGTCTGGGCTATAACTCAGTGGTAGAGGAGCTTGTGTGTGACACAGGCTGGCAGGCAGCTGGTCTTTATTTGCAGGTGGGGACTGTGCTTTCCTGGTTGTTGTTCTCCCTGCTCACTGAACCCTATGCCTTGAGCCTCCCACCCACCCCTACACCCCTTCTCACTATCCACAGCCATGAGACAGTCCATGTAGTTTCTTCTACTAGTTTTTTTCTGTTGTCCTCTCAAATTCCACCTCCAAACCTGGGGTATAGGGGTGGGTCCTAGGCTCCTGATATTATGTTCTTCCCCTAGGCCATGTTCCCTTCCATGTTCCCTTGTACCTGAGTTACAAGTTGGCTCTTGGTACCTTTCTTTGTTCTGATGTGACAGAAATTCCTTGCTGTGCCCAGTGCCTGCCTGGACCTCCCCGCTTTTCTCCCTCTCCCGTCCTGAACCTTAGATGCAAAGCATTGAGTTTCTCATGCTGAAGTTTATGGAACAGCCGTGTCATCACCCCTTCCACTGCCCTTCTTTCCCACGCTGAGGCGTTTTCCCTTCTTATCAAAATCCCATTCTCCTCCCTCAAGGACACTTCCTCCATTTCCAATGTGTATCTTTGAAGAATGTGCAGTGTATTTTGGCTGTTACATGTTTATATTCAAATACTAATAGTCATGTAGTTTGTATTTCTTTTGTATAAACTTTTTTACTTAGCACAGAGGTTGGAAGCTCACGAGCCAGTTCTGGCCTGCATCCTGTCTTTACAGGTAAAGATTTTGGGGAGCACAGTTATGTTATTTACACATGTACAATAATTTAGATATTGCCCTTGATTGTTGTTGTGTCTCTAGAGCACAGTTAAGGAGTTACGACAGGGACCATTTGGCCCATGAAGATAAAATACTTACCATCCAACCCTTTAAGTATAAAGTCTGTTGACCTCTGGCTTAGCCCAATGTTTACTTCCTTTTTAAAAAAACTGCAGTAGGCTGGGGGGATAGCTCAGTGGCACAAGCACCTGCCTGGCAAGTGCAAGGTTCTGAGTTTGATTCCTGGAACCAAGAAAATAAAAAACTGTGGTAAAATGGACATAATACAAAATGTACCATCTGTCCTACCCAGTTTTAAGGACACAGATTAGTGGCATTAAATACATTCACACCATCATGCCACCATCTAATCATCTGGCTTGGTTCATTTTCTGTTGCTATCATTGGATACTGTGTATTGAATAATTAATAAAGAAGTCTGTTTAGCTAAAACTTCTGGAGGCTTGGCAGTCTCAAAGCACAGCGCCAGCATCTGCTCAGCATCTGGGGAGGGCTTCTTTCTGTCTCCCAGGGACAGAGCAAGAGTGCCAGAGAGAGCTCACATTTATAACAAAGTCCACTTCCTCAATAACCCACAACTCCACTAATCCATTAGGCCATTAATCCATGAGGCCTCTGCTCTTGTGATCTAACCTCCTAAAGATCCCACCTCTAAATATCATTAACATATGATGACTTTTGGGATTAAGTTTCTAACTTTGAATGGTTGAATTTGGGAGACACACGCATCCATCTCCAGAAAAATTTCATCTTGAAAACCTGGAATTCTGTACCCGTTAAATCCCCCATCTCTCCCTCCCCACCTCTCAGCCCTTGGCTAGCATTGTCCTACTTTTTATTTCTATGAATGTGACTACTCTTGATAGCTGGTATAATTGAAGTGATACAGTATTGGCCTTTTTCTGTGATTGGATTTTTTTCACTTAGCATAGTGTCCTCAAGGTTCGTCCAGGCTGTAGCGTGCATCAGGATTTCCTTCCTTTTAAAGGGTAGCATTTCTTTGTATGTGTAAACCATATTTCATTTATCCATTCATCAGGTGATGGATATTTGTGTTGTTTCCATCTTTCAGCTATTTGAATAATGCTGATATGAGCATGGTATACAAATATCTCTTCAAGATACGGAGTTCAGTGAGGTGTCCTGGTGCACACCTGCAAACCCAGCACTCAGGAGATTGAGGCAGGAGGATCACAAGTTTGAGACCAGCCTGGGCTACAAAGTAAGCCTGAAGCCAGCCTGAACTATACAGTGAGGTTGTGTCTAAGCACACACACACACGCACACTGATTTCAGTTCTTTTGGTTATATATCCAGGCACCTGCATACTGTTTTCTCATAGCAGCTGCACTTTTTAACATTCCCACCAACAGTTTACAAGGGTTCTAGTTTCTCAGTATCCTTGCCAATCTTTGTTACTTACTGTATTTTTTAATAGACATTCTAATGGATGGAAAGTAGGTGATAATGCATTGTGGTTCTGATTTACATTTCCCTATTGATTAGTAATGTTCAATATCTTTTCATATACTTGTCCATTTGTATATCCTCTTTGGAGAGACATCTATCCAAATTGTTTGGCTACTTTTAAATTGTTTTTTTGTTATTGCTGAGTTGTAGAAGCTCTCTGTCTCTCTCTTTATATATATACATATATATATATTAGATATTATGATATATAAGTATCCTTTAGATATATGATTTGCAAATATTTTCTCCCATTCCATGAGCTACCTTTTCACTCTGCTGCCTTTGAGGCATAGAAATTCTTAGTTTTGATGTAGTTTCATTTACTTATTTTTACTTTATTGCTTTGTAGCACAGTTTTAATACAGTGTCTATCCAAAGCTAGGTATAGTAGGATTGACAGTCCCAGGTGCTCAGAAGGCTGAGGCAGGAAGATTGCCTGAGCCTAGGAGTTTGAGACCAGCCTGGGCAAGATAGTGAGATCCTCTCTCAACAAAACAAAACAAAACAAAACAAAGCACCCCAACTATCCATACTGATATGTACGTGTGTGTGTGTGTGTGTGTGTGTGTGTGTGTGTGTGTATTTCTATCTCCAGTGTTTTGCTTTCAACTGTAGTGTGCAGCTATTATATTTTACTTCTCTAAAGGTCTCCTTGATCTCTCCCACATCCCACAGTTACCATCTGCCACAGTGGATCTAACGTGTTTTTTATGGAGCAACACAGACATTTCTCTGCTATTTATTACCAGGAGTGGCATCTGTGGGTGACAGGGCATAAACATACTTCAGTTTTACTAAACATTGTCAGTTTTGTGTCTATCATCTCAAACTCCAGTCTTCTTTATATTTTGCTGGAGAACCAAGGTCACCCCTAGTCTCTGGCCATGGGGGAAGAAATAGGTAGATGAGATAGAATGGTTGGTATCTGTTTTCTTCTCTGTCCTCCAGGTTGGACGAGGGAGTGCTTCCAAGAGTGGGGCTCCTACATCCACCTGGCTGTTCCCAGCATGTTCATGGTATGCATTGAGTGGTGGACCTTTGAAGTCGGGACCTTCCTGGCAGGTTGGTCAGCATTCAACAGAAACCTACATGTAGCCTAGGAGTCCTGTCTCCCAGAAACTTATTTCTTCTTCCCCACCCTGTTCCATTTCATCAGGCTCAAAGAAAGGTTTGCATTATAGGCTAAAGCCTTTGGCCATCCATAAGCATATTCAAATATGGTGGAGCTTTAGCTTAGCTCTAGGGTACTCCATTTTGTAAATGAGGAAAGAAAGACACTGGTGAAGGGTTCTCCCATGGAGCACAGCAAAATCCCCAACCCAAACCTCCCAGGTGCCTTGTCCTTCAGCTGATTTTGGCTAGGCTTCTACTTAAGGTTTTAAAACTTGAACAGATATAGCATGGTTGATATGGCTGCGTTTAGGCTATGATCTATGTTGTGGCTTGTATCTAGATGTCTCCCCAAAGTCTCATGCACTCATGGGTAGGGCTATTCAGAGGTGGCTGGTTCTAGGGTGTGTGATGCTGGGATTAAGTTATGTGATGCTGGGGTTAAGAATGGGTGATTACTAAATTAGTCCACTGCTTGATTAAGCATAGTTCTGGATATAGATAATGGGAAGGCCTACCTTGGGTGTGGGTGGCACCACTCAAAACACAGGTAACCTGGAAAGGATAAAAGAGGGAGGCTTCTGTCTCACTGTTTGTTGCTGTTTCTGCTGGTGCTGGTGCTTGCTGCTTCTTTACTGCTTTAATGCCTTCTGCCTGCCCTGCTTTGCCATGGACTGTTTATCCTCTGCAATGCCCCTCAGCTAATGCTTTAACTCTGTCTTGGATCCAGCCAACTATGGACTGAAACTTCTGGAAACTGTGAGCTGAAATAAACCTTTCCTCCTTTAACTGTGGGTATTGGGTATTTTGTCCCAGCACCTAGAAAAGTAACCAAGACAACCCATGTTTTTACCAGAATTGTATGATTCCCATCACTGTACATAGAGTTCTGCTGTCCTCCCACCTTCCTCCCACCACAAGACTTCAAGTTTTCTAGGAATGATGCGCAACTCCAGGAGCCTGGTTTTTCTCTGAACCCCGGCTGGGAAGAGGGGTAGAAGTGGGGGCTATAAGCCAGAGATCTTGCTCCCTAGGAAAAAAAGTCTCAGTTCTCCTCAGCAGATGGTGAATTTGATCATCAGATCATGCTTCTGGGACATTCTTGGCTTCTCTTAAATTAAAATGCGTTCTAGTTTCATAAAGGAAACATTTTCTATAATCCACTTTTTGAAATGTGTTCTGTATGTATTGATATTTCAGGACTGATTAATGTGACAGAGCTTGGAGCCCAAGCTATCATTTATGAACTGGTCTCTGTGGCCTACATGGTAAGAATCTTGGGGTAAGTCTTGGCACCTTCTCTGGGTTTGTTATTGCAGAGAGAGAAAGAGTGAGAGAGAAAGAGAAAAAGAGACAGACGGACAGAGACACAGAGACAGACACAGAGAAAGACAAAGACAAAGACAAAAAGAGAAACAATGAAGTAGAGAGGACTGTAGCAGAAAATGTCCCCCAGGCAGCACATTTCAGTTTGTTAGTTGCCCAGATAACAGTTCCTGTTGCAGTTCTGGTTGCTTCTGTCTCTTAGAAATGGCTGGTCACTGTGAACATATTGTAAAAACCAATCAAAGACAGCCAACAGCTCTGCCTTTGTACTTCCCTTAGCAGACCCCATAAAAACCCCTCTCCCTGAACCTTTGGGGGCCTGATAGTTTGGGAATGATCCTGATCAGTGCCCCCTGACACACAGGTGGACAGCTTTTGGACAGGGCAGTCAGGGAGGGTCTTTCTGCATTGCTGTTTAAGGTTTGAAAGATGTTTAAGGTTTGAAAGATGAAAGTGGGCCTGGGGTGCCCATGGCTGGGAGCCAGCTGTGTAGCCCAGGCAAGGCTCTGAGGAACAGTATGTGGCACTGCTGAGGGTTAGTGAGGAGCAGGGTGATGGGAGGCTGGAGGCAGCAAGTAGGGCTGAGGGCTCAAGTGAAGAAAAAACCATTCTTGCTGCTGTGTAAGAGCTGGCTGAGGGCTGGGGAAGGAGTGGGAGTGGGGAGGAAGTCTGGATGGACAGTCAGGAGGCGGCGGGGGAGGACAGGGATGGACAAACGAGGCCCATGGGGAGGCAGAGCTGCCTGGCCATCCCAGAGCTGTGGGCTGTGGGGGACGGATGAGAGGTGTGTTCCGCCTAAACACTGGACCGTCTTTTTAATTTTATAAGACCACAGAGGGTTTATGTGGTGCTTTTGCTTCCATGATTGTTTTTTTCTTTATCACAAGAATGGAAGAAGGCTAGCAGGCACCAGCACACTGTCTAGGAAGGAGGTCGTCCCCGAAGGCCCACACCTGCCCCCTGGAGACACTGTCACAAATGAGAGACGAGGTCCATTCTTTCTCCTTGCTCTCATCAATTAGTCAAAATCATACCAGATTTTGGTTTGTTTCAGATTTAGGCCAGGACTTTTCTTGTATAGCTTTTTATTTATGTTCTGGCATTTCTAACAGTCTTTATTTCTTGTTGACAGAAGCAGTGAGGCCTTTGCCACATTATAAGATCATCTAGAGTTTAAGCACAGCATTGAGTAGCCATCCAATTTTTTTCTTAAACGCTGACTGGCTTCTTGCTGATTTATAGATTTTTACACTGATTTATAGATTTTTTCCCTAGAGTTCTGTGCAGTTGTCATTCCAGGGTTCCTTTCATTTTCCTCAGGCAATCAGTCTGCAGTTCCTTTGGTCCCACCTCTTCCTCTTTCGTAAGAGTCTTTGAAATTTTTTTAAATTAAAAAAAAAACATGTTCCTAAGATTCTATGAAAGGTAAATTATGAGCCATTCACATTTGAGAATCTTTATTCTTCTTTTGCTCTTGTATAATAGTTTGGCTGAGTGTAGAGTTCTAGATTCAAAATAATTTCCCTCAGAAGTTTAAAGCCATTGCTCCATGGTTTTCTGACATTCAGAGTTGTTCCTTTATCCATGTGGTTCTGAAATTTCACAGGGATGTGTTTCTTTGAGGGTGCCTTTTACTTCTGCTTAGTACTTGGGATGTTGGGATGCCCTTTTAGAACTTGTGATGTTCTTTAATTCTGGGAATTTATATATATATATATATATA